GAAGCAATGAGCATGAAACTGAGCAAACCCAGGGAGCCAGTGAAGGAAGGAAGGCCTGGCGCGATATGGTTCATGGGGTCACAAAGAGTCGGACATGAGTTAACGACTGAAAAGTGATTATGTAATTTTTTGCAGCTGTTATATGGTAGTTTTACTTAATTATATTTAATGATTATGGAGATCCATCCATCTTTGCAGAAGACAGGATTTTTGTCAACACTCTAAACAAAGATGTTCAACCAGAATCAGCTGAGAAATACATCATAGACTAGCATTTGGTAAAGTAGCAATGAAGACATTGGAAAAGATACTCAGATCCTGGGAAGTGTCTATACCTACAAAGATCAGAATCATGCAGGCAATGGTTTTCCTTGTGATACTCTATGGAAGTGAAAGTTAGACTTTGAAGAAACAGGGTAGAAAGAGTATTGGTTCTTTTGAACTTTGGTGTTGGAGAAGACTCCTGAGAATACCAAGGACAGCCAAGAACACAAACAAATGGATCATCAAACAAATCAATCCAGAGTTCTCACTCAAAACACAAATGACCAAGCTCAAACTATCATATTTTGGACACATGTGAAAACCTAACTTTCTTGAGAAGTCTATAATGCTAGGAAATGTGGAAAGAAAGAGAAGGAGAGGATGACCAGCAACAAGTGTGGATTGACTCTATTACAGTAGTGAGGGGTACAGTGTTGGAAGACCAGAAGGGCCAGGTTGAGGATAGACTATCCTGGAAAAAGTCTATCTATGTGATTATTAAGAATTGACATGACTTGATGGCAAATAATCCATCAAGATGATTACTCTTGCATAACCAAACAGTCTATAGGTGCTCAGAATTTAATAGCATCATTTAGCCTTCTCCAACTTAGTACCCTCCAGAGACATTGGATTTACAGTTCTCAAAATTACCAGGTAGCAAGGTCAACAGGGTTAGAACTTTTGGTCCCAACACATTTGGGGGTGGGGGTCAGAATTCTGGAGGTGTTACTGGAACAGATAATCCAAATCATCACTTCTGTTAAAATCTAGAATTGGCACCAGGGTTTTTGCAGATAAAAGTATGTCACTTGAAAGTAATGTTACTGTTCATCTTTTTTGTTGCAGTCAGACACTTCTGGGGATTATCGGCGCACATTGCTCAAGATTTGTGGTGGAGACAACTGATGGGGCCAACCCAGACAGATCTGCTGACTGCTCTGGTTTCCTGTTGCGTTCATCAGTTTATAGAGCTTTTAGATGTTTAAGCAAGTGTATAAATTGCCACTCCTCTTTTCAATTTTTTAAATTAGGCATCATCACAAACAGATGTTGA